AGAGAGAGAGAGAGAGAGAGAGAGAGAGAGAGAGAGAGAGAGAGAGATATGTGCATGCTTTTGTAGAAAAGTAAAATTGTGGCTGTTTTGGGCAGTTATACTTTGTGTAAATTTAAGTGTCTCGAACTCTGAGGTTTCTCAATGTTACCTTCCTTTTTACAACATTTTGAAGACAGGGACAAGCTTAGTCAAAATTACGCAAAGATGTTAATTTTTGGCATCACATTTACAAAATACAGATATTGTTTTTATCAAGTACGTCATAATTTTTGTTTGCAAAGTTATATTTTTATGTAGTCCGTGTCATTTATTGTCTTGGTGTTCCTTTGTTTTTGTGAGTAAAGTTCCTGCTGCGTATGTATTTTATCATTTCATTCTAACCATGGTGGGAAATGTGAAGTTGTCAACTCATAGAATATTTTCAGCTTGTTCATGTTTTTTAGTTTTTTATTACAACTGTCTACCTCAAACTGTTATGATTTCACATAACAACGTCTGAGTGGGTGAGAGGCTGCAGGTATGGATGAGTGTCACGGTGGCAACAGGACGGAGAGAACAGAGAGTGAAGAGGAGCATGGATGGATGAAAGGCTTAAGAGAAGCAACAGAAACAGTACAGTAATACTGAGTGGGAGCACTGGAGGGAAAGATGAAGACAGGAATGGATGGAGGGAGGGCTGGCAGGCGTCGGCAGAGGCACGCTCCCTGACCACTGTAAGGAAGGGGGCGTAGGCCAGGTCTCCCATCAATTACAACCTTGACCCTCCTCTCTTCTTCTTTTTCTCTCTCACACACTTTCTGCTTCATTCAACCATCCTCCCCCTGCCTCTCAGGCTCCCCTGGTCCCTCTCCTCTGGTCCTATAAATCAATCGCTTCGCTCTCCCGCCCTCCCCCTAGCTTTTTCCCACCTTACCCCTCCCACTATTCCGCTCTCTCTCTGTCGGCCCTCCTCTTTATCCCTCGCCACTCCTTTCCCTCTTTTCATTGTTGGAAGTGCAGTGGGAGTAGAAAGGTCAGAGGTGGGCAGACGAGAGGGAGAGAAAGAGGCAGAGGCAACGAGGGAGTGTGAAAATGAGAGAGTGAGTGTATTTAATCAAAGTGGTGTGGGGGCAGATAATATCTCTTGTTTTGTTTTTTTAAACCCTTCTTGACTGCTGAACAATTGCTGAGTGTGAGTGTAGCAATTATCCAGTAATGTTCTATGTTTATCTCATTTAGGTAAGACAAGGATGTGGGACTTTGTGTGCGCACATGCCCTCAGATACTATTGTATGTAACTTGTATATGAGGAAGGGAAAAAGTGAACATGCACAGTGAAAGGGTGTAGATCAATGTTTAGTGATGGTGAGACAAGAAGACAGACAAAAAAGAAACCAGCCTTTGAACACATAAGAGGATACATAAAGACTGAACATGGTAAGATGGACATGGGGAGTTCAAACAAGAGAGGTGCAATCCCAATAGAAATAGATTACAATATACAATTTCTTAGAAGTGTTACATGTAGCATTGTTCAACATCAATACATCGTCATACTTTGCTGTCTGTATATTTACCATAACAACAATGACACCATGTCTGAATAGAAGGCGGGCCCCTTTTTATGGCATTGGTTGTTCTTGTGACCACATTTCTGCCCCAAAAGGGATAGTGGTCTTCTGATGATGCAACGTGCTGTACAAGTTCCTAATCTTATTAGCAGAGGCCTCTATTAGCCGAATAAATACACATATTTAATAGGCTTTAAAATGCTACATGTAGCACAGTTAACAGAGAAAGATAAGGAAGAGACCTTTTCCCTTACCCTCCCTCAGCATGCCCACAGTCAGACACTTCATGAAGCGGCAGGCCTGGCACGACTTGCGTCTCCTCTTGGTGATCTCGCACTCGTTGGTTGCTGGACAGCTGTACTCTATGTTGCCTGTATGTAGACATGTTAGGAGAAAGACAGAAAAAGGGTTTCATTTCAGATGGATACTTCAACAGACAGGTGGGCGGTCAGACAAAAAACAGAAACGTCTTCATTGATTTTAATCAATGTACAGAGATATAATTGTAGAGTTGTAAATAGACATACGGACACACGATTAACTAGGGGTGTCCCTTACTAAGCATGGACATATTTGAATCGGATTGCTCAAGCCTGGCCTGGGGTCTACTGATCGTCAAATCATTAGTTATGACTTTGTATAAAAAACTGACAGACAAAACAGTATAATAGTGTGTGTTTAAGTGTGTGTTACAGGAGTATATGTGCATACGTCATGGCTGGAGCAAGCTGAGGTTGCGTGACAAGCTGTAGTTCACTCACAGTAGCACTGATGCAGAGCTGAGGCTAAGATTATTAGCCGATGTAAGTCTATTAACTTAACAAGCCTCGCCAGCAAAAACACAAACACCTAAAGTGGGTTTGAGGCTAATACCACTATTACCTTTAATCCTCCACAGCCTCACTATTTCTTCTCTACCTAATCTGTCTTTTTCTACATCTTCCTACTTCTATATTGTCATGTCCCCTGTCTTTGCTATTTTTCAACACTTTAAGTTATCCATGTCTAAATGAGACCTATTTCTAACCATCTACTGTGCCTCCTACTTATCTCCCCTTTTGTTGTACTTGGTTTCATTCTGTTGTTTTGTTTTCTCATTTCCAGCTTCACTCGCCCTCCAATTCTGCTCATTTCCTCCACTTAGTATTTTGCTTCCACCCAGTTTCAAAGCAAAGCACAGTTATGGATTTGTTAGGACAGTTTGGACTATTGCAGAATTGCTCTAACAGGTTTCTTTGTTCCGGAAGGTTTATTTATCCATAGTATAAGCTGTGATGAGATGTGAACGCAAAATAACCCTTTGGTCGCTTCCTCCTGCACCCACCTGACAACTACAGTACCCCAGCAAGCCAATGCATCTCCCACTGAAACAGAGTAAACAGTGATTACTATTGACTGCTGCTGTGGAGAGGATGTGTTCTCATTACTGGGCTGATTAAGGGGAGTAGTTAACTTAGGAAAAGGCTAAATGCAGGAACACTCCTTAATGGGTAACACAATGCTCATTAATCGGCCTTATTAGTTTAAGTAAAGGCTAAACATGCTAAATGCTTGGGGGCCCCTATAGTCTAATGGACGCCGCTAACAGGACTAGCTAGCTCACATCCAACCTCAACATGCTGATGATACAGAAGGTTCAGATTAATACAGCAATTAAGAGGGGCACTTACTTAGCACTAAGGGTAAATGTGGTAGTGACATATTCTGCGTTGGTTAATGGATGGTCAGTAAAAGGCCTTGTTAGTGCAAGGCTAAACAGGCAAGCACCGCTAAATGGATAACTGCAGTAAAGAGCCACTTAAAGGGCCGGTAGCACTAAGTCGAAATGTGTTAAACCTCTTATTAAGACATTTATTTTCCATCTACACATTCTGAGTGCTACTGTTTGAAGTGTCCGTCAATAGAAAAAAATATCGTTTGTTTATTTATCTATGACAGAAATAACAATGTTTTTGAAACTTGACTTTACAATACCTCAACTCAACAGTAATAAGTACCTTAACTGAAAGATCAGTGGCCTTTAATACTAGCATATCAGCAAAAACAAAGTTCTTGATATTGCACTGTACATGTTGAGAATAGGTAATTACGGTAGGCTTACAAATATAAATATAAATATATGATATAGAACTGTGTGTCATCCGTCTTCAGAGTGGAGGTACCGGACAGGAATTAGAAAAGAAGGGTTTACATCAGAATGTCACAGCTCTCTCTGTGTGTCTTTATTTCCGGCTTTATGTGTCTTATTGTGCACTGAGGTGGGCTTAGAGTCGAGAGGTTCTTGGAGGCTCCTATGTATAACGTGTGAGTTTGTGTGTGTGTGTGTGTGTGTGTTGGTGTGAGTGAGGGGGCTATATGAGGGCCTCAAATCCCCTGCAATCTCCTTTGAGATGTGTGTATGTCCACCTGCTGCATGACAATTGACCACCATTGGACAGACTGCGTATATGAATGTTAGTTTGTGCTTTTGCCTGCATAGTCTTTGAGCTGTCTTTGTTTTCACCTCTCCTGACGTTTTACATCTAACTCTGTCTTGACATAAGTTCAGCGTCTCCCTCCCATTCACTTTCTTTTCTTAGTACCTTGGCTTACGTATTTAGATATTTCAAATTGTTGACCTATTGAAGAATGTGCTTATTTTCTTAAAGGCAGCATTAACAGAACTCCCTTGTGTGACGGTCCCACCTGCAAGTTCACTACACTGTTCACCTTTCTCATATTCATCTCTCCTGCTCTCATCCACCTTTCTTCTTCCCTCTTGCTGTCTTCATCTTTCCATTTCATCGCCTTGTCCCTCCCTCTCCCACACTTTGCCCTCCTCCTCACTCCCCTTTATCCCTCTCTCTCAATAAGGGAGTGATAGATGCAGGTTGTCAGGTGTCGCTGGACTGACGCCACAGAAACAGCAGCTGCCAGAGCACTTCCACCATGCTGCGACACACACACACACACACACACACACACACACACACACACACACATACATTCACACCACTAATTCTTTCCTACATCCATGTGCCCAGTTTACCCTACCCCTTCTCTCATCTTTCTGTCATCCCAAACTGGTGTACTCTACTCTCGTCTCCTCTCCCACCCCACGCTCTCCTCCCTGTCCAGCTGGAGATGTTTTTTTGGTGATTACCTGCAGTTTTATTGGCTAATGGGTTGAAACATACCAATATGTCTGCCGCTGCCCATCTGAGGCTGGCCCTGCTTTCCAGCCAAGATACACACACTAACACACAACCGTGCATACACACAGGCATATGTGCACGGAAGTACACATTAACCTGCGCTCATTTACATGGATGAGCACAAGCCCACAGACATACACACGGGGTAATACACACACACACACACACACACACACACACACACACACACACACACACACACACACACACACATCTGTGGATGAGTTTGGATTGTGTGGTAGCCAAAGATAATGTCATGACTCATTTGTTCCATTGGACCCAAGACTGTTCAGTCTGCATCTAAACAAACATGAACTTATACTGTAACAAGAATACTGCTGAAAAATACTGAAATCTGTACATAAGATTGCATTGATTGTTGTAAGATTATTGTGATTGGATGATTACGTATTTAATAAACATCCAGAAAATGTTTTGTTCATTTTTTTATGATTCAATCCAGCAAATGTTCTAATGTTTCACATCCTGTTGTATTTCGTGACAACAGTCCTGTGACTAGCTTTGTCAAAGTCTTGACCCATAACCTTTGATTCTGGCCTTCCTGAGCTGCAACATGTCCACTACATAGAAGGGAAGATTACAAATACAGGGAAAATGAGAATGCGAGAGAGAGAGGGAACAGAGCAGTGCTTTAAATCTATTCAAGGTTATACTCTGAAGAAGCTCGACAGTCAACATGGCATCATATCTATATGTTAGCTGGGCTCTTGGTATTTAATCGGTGACTCTATACTCACCTATGTAACCTTTAACAAGCCCTCAAAATGAAATGAGACATGTGGAATCGGTGAACTATTATACACAACAGAGAAGAATTAAGGGTTAAACCTTTACACACGGTGATTACAAGGTCATGTCTGTGGCTGTCTATTCATGTGTGTTAGTGGTGTCTATGTGTGGATGTGCTTCTATGAGTTAGTGTGTGTGTGTGTGTGTGTGTGTGTGTCTCTACCTTTATCTCTGTATGTGTGCTTTCCAATCTTTTTGTCAGGATTGCACTGTGTCCTGATCTCATCCCATAATAAACACACGCAGGTCATCTCTACGAAGTGGTGACCATCTACTGGATGTAAGGCTCCCCCCCCTCACATCTCCCTGTCTCGCTCTGTCTCTCTCTGGGGCTTTACTAGGAAAGCTGCTTATCGGAGGCAAAAGAAAGCAGCGACAGATAGGTGGATGGATGGAAAGGCAGATAGATAGAATCCTGTCTGATATGACTTATGGACGGACTGACTGATCGATGACGTCTGGCTGGCTGACTGGTAGCTTGGTTATTTAAGTGGCATACAGACTGACAAGAGGGCTGTCATGCTGACTAATGGGGTCTATTAGTTAAGAAAACTTGAACAAATCATTAAAGACGAAGACTGAAAGTCTTCAAAGGTTTATTTATTTGTTGACTGACTTTCTGACTGGGTTTACCACCATGGTGGTCCTAATAAAATATGAGTTTGAAATGAATGACTTCCGACACTCAAATGTGCGTCATGGGTCGATGCTTCATGGGTTATCAAAGTCTGGAGATCTTATCTGCATATTTTCTTTTGCCATCAAAACCTATGAAAGGTCTAAAACCAATAAATAATTGATCAAGTACTGCATGCATAGTCAAAGCCTGATACTATTTATCTGTGTCAGAAAACACATTAGTGAGCCACACTGTTGCACTGGGTGACACTTTACTTCTGTTCAATCCACATGGGCTGTGCTTTGAGTCGACCCTACAGTACTTGGACCATCCCATTCCAAAAGTTGGAAAGTATTGATGCGTTAACACAATGTTGGTTTTGGTCCTTTCATGGGAATTGTTTGCACTCACAAAAATACAGAATATCAGCAGCTTTATGCGTGTTGTCTTATTATAGAGGTGAGCTGTCTAGTACGTATCTGCATCAGTTGTGCTTGAAAAATGCAAAAACCATCATAAAACTGAATTAATACAACAAGCAAATGTAGATTTGTTTAAGTCATGTGAAACTAAGATGGCTGTGTTATCATTTGAACTGGGTGGATTAATGAACCAGTGAACAAATGACTGACTGACTTACTGGCTTGCTTTATGGCTAACTGGTTGTCTGTTAGTCTGACCTGTCCTGTGCTTGCAAGGGTAAATGAAAGATACACTGTTGATTAAGCTGAGAGTTGATTATGAATTGAAGATCTACAAAATTGCAGAGGATAGCCTAAATACCTGTGCACATCCTGGGCTACTTCTAGCTCTAACAAGAGATGAGCAAAGGATTACTGAGACTAATTCCTGGTACTCTTCTCATCATGTGGATTACTGCTCAACCCCTTCTTTCCTCTAACCCTTAACCTGAACTCCTGACCCAGAGACATAACCTCTGACCTTCCCTTGACACTACCTTATCTCCTCGACATCAGGCTTATAGCTAACACTCTTTCTGTAAAGCATAAGCAGCTATAGATCTAGGAATGCAAACACTACCTGGAAATTATTCTTTGCTGTTGATGGAGAAGAGGTCAAGGTTGAGGGTGAAAGGAGGCGTGTCTGGGTGTTGGGTGTGTATGCATGAAGCTGATTGGATGCATATTTGTGAGTGTGTGTATGTGCGTGCATGCATGACAGAAAGAGAAATGGTGAAGGAGAGAGAAAAAATAGACTATGGTGGGTGTCCTGGTGGCTCCCTTAGTAGAAACATGTACCACATACAAATCTGGGTTTACATCTGGCTCGGGGCTTTTATCTTTTGTCCTGGATCTAGTTTAATGTCTCAGGTGTGCACGTGTAATAAAGTGCATTTTGTGTGTCTCTGTGCATTTCATTTGAAGAAAACATAGTTCATGTTTTAGGTGTTATGTGTGCAATATTTCTCTGAAGGGTCATGCCTTTTTAAGGAGCCCGTTTAGTTAAATATGAAGAACACTCTTCACCTTTAACTACTGACCTTACATCCTGCAGCCAACCCTGTAATGTGTTCTTCTGTTGTGAGGGGTTCATGACCTTTCATGTAGCATGAATAACACCCAATAGATCAAAGCTTATTGTAATACCTAGAGTTCTAAACGAATAGCAATGTGGACAGACACTGAGACAGACATGTACACTCACAGGGAGATAATTAGAAGAAAAGAGAAAGTCGAAATAGAAGCCAACCTTGGATGGTGCGTTTGAAGAAGGCCTTGCAGGCCTCACAGGATGCCACTCCATAGTGGTACCCTGACGCAATGTCCCCGCACACCAGACACAGCCTCTTGGGCATCGAATTTAACATGTACTCGCACTTTATTTGTGAATCTTCCCCAATAGTTGACGAACAGTCCTCGTAACGCTTTGATCCGGGGCCGCCAGCAGGACCAAGGGGCCCTGCGTTGGAGCCGTAAAGGCTGGGGGAGTCTAGGCCGTTGGGGTGGCCGTTCATCGTGGACGAATAGGAGCCTGAGGCGTCGCTGGAGCCACCAGGGGAGTGATGGTTGAGGCTGTCAGTCAGGGAGGCAGGACTAGACGGCTCAGTCTTTATATAAGAGGACGGACAGTTAGACTCAAGGTGGCGCTCCTTACTGGACATTCTGCAGAGAAGCCTGAGGGGGTGAGAAAGGAACAAATAGAAGAAGAATTATAAGAAAATGTCATGTGCAAAATGTCAGAAAAACGATGGATACTTATAAAGAAAAGAGAGAAAACCAAGAGAGGGAAGGGTGAGAGGAAAGGCAGAGCAAGAGGAGAAGACAAATAGATTCAGTGAAGGCGATTGTTTGAAAGTCCAATTATAGCAATCATTTGTACTAATGTTGTAGTATTTGCTCACTTTCACTTTCAATGATGGATTTGTATTTTTTTTACTTAGCCGGGCAAGTTCTATAAATGACACACATACATGAACACACACAATCCATCCGTCACATTTGTTATTCTTTTCCTAAGAGAAGTGATAGAGAGAGCTGTGCAGAGGGGGAGAGGGACGAGGCAATAAGAGAGAGTAAGAGAGTTAAATACAAAAACTAAACACACTGTGCTCCATTAGGGGAAGCGTGTGTAAAATAGAGAAGCAGAGAAGCATCTACAGCACCACGCAGTCACACAAACACAAACACATGCTCGGGGCCGACGGTCATCCGTCACTTTCCAGTCAATAGATCCTTGTTCTACATGAAGGTAATCAGTAAGCAGCCTCTCTGCTGCTCAATCATCCCAAAGACAGCCTTACACATACATGACACCAACATGCACACCCACCACTCACATATCCAGGCACACACTCACAGATACAGTTGAAGAAGTTAGAGGAAGCCATGCAATACAAAACTGTTTGAAAAGACAAAAACATCTCTGCTAATCCGTGCCCTGTTACTGTATTCCTCTCCTCATCTATTTTTCTTCTCTACTGTCTCTCACTTCCTCCAAACAGCTTCCCTTTCTCCCTCTCCCTTTTCCTTCTTTCTCTCCCTAAGGAGGCGACTGGTGTCTTGTTAATGGCAGTTGTAATTAACAGCAATCTTCTCTCTGTCCATATCTCTCCATCCCTCCTTTTGTCTACCTTACTATCTATCTGCCTGTCTCCGTATCATCTCCTATTCACTGCCATCTCTCTCTCTCTCTCTCTTTCACTTACTCTATCCATGCTCTCTCTCTCTCTCTTCCTCATGGCATTACAACTCTCTATTCCTCCAACCCTGCCCTCCCTCCCTTCTCTATCTTTTCATTGTTAAAGGCAGAAAGCACAAAAGGGGTTTTTAATTAAGGCAGGATGCTGCTAAACGAGGGGCTTCTAAAGTCCAGTCGGCCTGTAAAAGATCCCTGTTCTACAGGGACCCATAAAACACAGACAGCGCCTTGACAGGGAATGGAGAGCCGGTTGAGAGAGAGAAGGCTTGGGGAATGGGGAATGGATATAGAGAGGAAAAGAGGCAGACAAAGCAGACAGAAGGGAGAAAAAGAAGTTGCAGTTTCAGATCTGAATTGTTTGGTTTCTAATGTGCTTTAATGTGTTTGATGAGCAGCAAGATGAGACAAAGCGGCCCTCTTCCTTTAGCCAAACCTACACACGCACTTTAAGCCAAAAAACGCCTTTCCCAGAAATTCAGTGCTTTTCTTTCGAGTCAATTTTTCCTTTCATAAAGTGACATTAAATTCATAATGTACAATGCTTTGGCCTTTTCCCACCCCCCTTTCCATTATATATTTTATTTCCACCACCACTTCGCCCCTCCCCTCAATGCAAGTTCCTCTAATTCAGTGACTCCATTAATCGTGGCTTTGTGGTATTCACCAATGTCTATAAATCCGTTTATCTGATGCGAAGGTATAGGCCTTCAGTTTGAAATGAAAGGGGGGGACGGCGAGAAAGGTTTGGACACAAATCAAGAAAGAGGAAAGGAGTTAAAAAAGGGATGGGAGAGAGTCAAAGGAGGGATAAGGAAGTAGAGACAGAAACACACTTAAGGTGCTAGAAAAAAGCAAGGAAGAAATACATGTAAATGTGGGAAAGAGTGATGGGATGTTGAGAGATCAGACAGCATTGCCTGTGTTCTAGTGGAGGGAGAGGAAATACAGTGGTGACAGAAAAAGAGAGTAGAGCCATTTAAGTAGATGATGTGATGGTGATGATTTAATCTCTCCTTTTTCACTCTTTATGCTCTTTTGTGCCCCCCTCCCTTCGACCGTCAATCCCTCTGAGTACCATTAAGTGAAAGAGTTTAAGTGCCAAAAGATCTCAGGTGCTTTTTTACTCTCTCTCTCTCAAAGTCTCATCTATCTCTCTTTCCTTCACCCTTCCATTCCTCCTCTCTGCTCCGTTTCTCTTTTTCTCCATCATCTCTTTTTCTCCAACACACATCTTTTCTACGCTCTCTCTCTCTCTCTCTCTCTCTCTGCTTATAAATGAAAAATAATGGCAGTCGAAGGGGGAGGAATAAAAAGAATAAAAAAAGAAGACATGCGTGCAGAGGAGAGAAGAGGAAAGAAGATTAAGAAATCACAGCCAGTGCGCTGTGCCGAGCGAGAGGTTGAATGCATTTATGTATGTATGTTATCAGTATAATTATGGCACTATGTAACGACGGCTCAGTGCTGAAAGAGCAGTCTTATTGTGCCTGTCTGCTCTTCAGATGAGTGCGGAGAGAGAGGGAAGGGGTTGGGTCTCATTTTTTTTGTTATCAATTCTTTATGTTTGTAGGTGTTTAAAGAGGTTTATATAAAGAGGAAAAGGTTTGAGTGTGTTTCTTTTTGTATCTTCACAAGGGGCTCAAAGACGTGAGCAGTGTGTTATGAGATGATTGCGGTAAAACACAAAGAAGAGCAGTAATCAGATTTCAGACTTAGCTGTTTTGCTTAATTGTGTTACAGAAGACGGGTTTTGAATATCATTTTCTTCCTGCTATTCTGTTCATTTTGATGCACTAACAGGGTGTAAGACATTTTTTTATATGTATTTAACTGGAAGTCATGAAGAAAGTAAGTATTTATTTTGTTCAATTCTTAAACATTTCAGAACACTTCCCTGTTTGTCTGTTTTTCATGTGTATTTGTTTATGGAAAAAATGGCAATTTTGCTTCAATTACTACATATTTTATATAAAAATGTATTTACTTGTAGAGTTGACGGATAGTTTTAATAAAATAAATAATGTTAAACGTCAAATTAAAAAGAAGGTTAACTTATAGACACTTTCATCCAATATTTTTTTCAGCTCTTTGAAATAACTAACTTTATAGTAGTTTACCGTGAGTCTATTACAGTGACAACAGACCACCTTTACCTTTTTGACCACCCATACAGTGTTTGTGACACCAACAGGATATGACACTATTTCACAAACAGCCAGAGCAAAAGGACAAAAGTGGCTGTTTACTTCCTGCAGACATCAAATATTCAGCAGGCCTATTTACCTGTCCCTGACTGAGGTAGGACACACACACACACACACACACACACACACACACACACACACACACACACCAGAAAGATTACCACCTTCCCTTGTCTCCATTTCCAGCTCGATCCCTGTCATTTTCTCTTTCTCTTTGGTCCTATTTCTTTTTTTTACAGTGACTCATGAAACAGAGATAAATATGTGGACGTGAGAGAGAGAGAGAGAGAGAGAGAGAGAGAGAGAGAGAGAGAGAGAG